AACACTTTCCACCAGGAATAAACTCCCATGGTTAAGTGAAAGGAGCAGAATTGATGGGCTAAATGCCTCTTCTTATCACATGCTTTCTAACGTTCTTAATCGGGGGGTGGGGGAGGAATTCTTCCTACTCAGCTTCTGCTATCCTTCTGCAAGCCAAAGCCCCAATAAATAGGGTGGGTTTAGCAATACAAGCAGCAGGAGACATGTTGGCAATGGAAAGCTGTGCAATTTGAGCTAGCTGAACTAATTCACAGAGGTCGCCAAGACCTGGCTCACCAACCTGAGTCCAATACTCTTCAGGATTACGTGAACAGGGTCCATCCCAAAAAGCAGAGAATGCATATTCCATTCCAGATACAGCGAAATTTCCATGCATTTGTGAAATTCTGCAATTTGCTTTGGATATTCTTAAGCATTGTGACGGGGGTTTCCTGAAATCAAATACCCAGCCGAAAATATTAGACTCAGGTTGGTGAGCCAAGCTTACAAGAATTCACCTCTGCGAATTAGTGATTTTTTTGGTAAATGTTGGACATCCAGCTGACCAAAGCAAAGAGCATGGAAAATAAACAGTTCAACATACAATTTCAAGCAAGTCTTAAAAACTAAAATAGTCTTTTTTTTGTAGAATAGGCATTTGAGTTGAAACATTGCAACAGCACTTTACAGTAATTTTGTCAAGTGTGGTGAATGTTTTTGAGACAATCAGGCATTTTGTGCAGATACATTTCTTTTTGTCAGCCAAGTATCTGATTAATGCAAATACCTAATTCAATATTAAATATACTTGATCTGTATAATGTGCTCTGGGACGCTGCCCCACCATGAAGGGCGCTATAGAAATGCAAGTTGTTGAAGTTGTTGTTGTATCTGGCATTGAATGTGCACTCTCTCCCTGGAGGGACACCCCTTTCTTGCCAATTCCAGAGAGTATGAGGTGCAGGTTGGCGAGAGCCATACCCTGAGAATCCCAAAGTATGTGGTGGGGTAACTGCTGGAGTTTAACCAGCCAAAGCTGTATAGGTTAACATTGAGAGCACTGTCTGGCAAGCAACAACAACAATTACATTTGTATAGCTCATTTCATGTCAGGAGGACGTGAGGAGCATCCCGTGCTTGTCTAGCTAGTACCACCTGACCCATTGGGGCTTTGGCTCACAGGGTTAACAGGAGACAAGTGGGAGGAATCTCTTGCCTCAGCTATAGGTTGGCCACTCCAAGTCCTGCCGATGAGCCTGAGCTGGTCTGCCATTCATATTATCCTGGAATACTGTACCTGATTCAGGAACAGGACTATTGAAACAGCTACAGAGGGTTGACATTCCATTGTCAGATACATCACCTTGGAATCTGCTCAACTGAGTCCTGTAGCTCAGTGCTTAGAGCACTCACTTTGCAAGCGAGAGACCTGAGTCCAATTCCAGGCAGAGGGCGAAACCTTGGGCAAGTTTCCTTACTCCACACAGAGCCTAATAATAATCCCTCCAAAACAAAACAATAATAAATTGGTCATTTTCAATTTACGACTGTTTGTGGGACATTGCTGTGCGCTATTGGCTGCCGTGTTCGCCCACAAATATACAGTCAATTCACTTTACAGTGTGTTCTGTGAAGCGCTTTGGGACGTCCTCCGGATGTGATAAGCGCTATAACAAATGCAAGTATTATTATTATTACTATCCACCCTCCAAGTAGGAGAGGTTGCAATATATTTAGTACAGCAAACCATTATAAGTGTTGAAAAGGTTCATAAAATCCACCCCACCTTTTAATGTAGAGCCCTGTAACTTAGTAGTTGGCAAGCGAGAGGATGTTGTGGGTTCTATTCCTGGCAGGGCGAAACGTTGACGAGTTTCCGTACTACACACTGTTGACCTAGCAGTGAGTAGGAACCTGGTTGTTAGTCGATTGGTAGATTGCTTTCCAGGGGTAATAATCCCTCAAAAAAAAATTTGGTTGTGCAATCCACGACTGTTTGTGGGACACTGCTGTGCAAATTGGCTACCGCATTTTGCCCCAAAAATACTCAGTGAATCCACTTTACAGTATATTCTGTGAAGCGCTTTGAGATGTCTCAACAACCTGATAAGGCGCTATATCAAATGTAAGCATTATTCAGATTGGCAGATATACATACTGAAGGTCAGAGCCAGTGTAAAAATCTACTGTTGTGGGCTCCCTGACTCATATTGCTCTGGTAGCTTTCATGACCAATTCCAGCAAATCTGGATATTATCCACTGTCTCAAAGGCACCGTCATCTTCGTTCTCATCCAGAAAACCCAAATCTCAGAAAACACTTGACCTGATATCATGCTTACCTAATACAGTGAATGGCAACATGAATCATAATGGACTTGAGCGAGTCTGAACGAAGCGCGCTAGTTGATCCTGAGAGTCCAAGTTTTAAAGGTATGAGGGGAGAGCTGGACTCGTTTTCATCAGAAAAAAATGAGGGCACTGTGATATTGTCTTTATTGAGACACACAGATGTAAATTTATTTGACTTAGATGAGGAAGCACCCACGTATATGCAAATGTGTGCGCACTAACACACACACAGACAGACTCTTAACAAAAGTATTCAATACCTTGTTGCTGCATTTCTCCCAAAACAAACTGGATACAAGAATGAATGCAGATTGAAATGAACACACACTCCATAGGACACATTGATTTTCTGGAAGGAAACCGTTGCCAGTAGGGAACAAGGCCATGATGGAATCACAGATGTAGGAAGAATCAATATTTTTGCTTAATTATCTTTGGGGATCAGGTAGTATTGACAAAACACTTTCAACAACAACTTGCACTTATATAGCGCCCTCCACGGAGGGTAATATCACAGGGAGCTTAACAATGGCGCAGCCTTATTCTGAACTGTGGGGTGTGCGGGGAGGTAGCTGTAAGCACAGTCGAAGAGGAAGGTTTTCAGGCAGGACTTGAAAAGGGGAGAGTGGGCAAGGCGGAAGGATTAGAGGAGAGTGTTACTGAGTGTCAGGGAGCGGTGGCTGAAAGCGCGACCTCCAATGGTGGGGTGGAGGGTGCGAGGGACGAGCAGGAGGCCGGTGCCAGTCGAGCAGAGGCGCCAGGTGGTGGATTGAGGAGATCGGAGAGGTAGAGAAGTGCCAGGGAGTGAAGAGATTTGAACACAAGTGTGAGGGTTATTCCTACTGAGCTCCTGTTATCCCTCTGTAAGCCAAAGCTCTAACAACTAGGGTGGGGTTAGCAGTACAAGCAGCTTGTCAGACATGTTGGCAATGGGAAGCTACGCGATTTGAGTTGACTGATCTCCAGCAGTAGGCCCAACTAATTCACAGAGGTCGCCAAGGCCTGGCTCACCAACCTGAATCCAATACTTTTCAGGGTTAGGTGAACAGGGTCCATCCCAACAAGCAGAGAATGCATATTCCAATCCAGATACAGGGAAATTTCCATGTATTTGTAGAATTCTGCAGTTTCCTTTGGATATTCTTAAGCATGGTGATGAGTTTCCTGAAATCAAATACCGAGCCGACATGTATTAGGCCGGTTGTTTACAGTATATTTAGTACGGTAAACGATTATAAGGTGTATAAAAGGTTTATAAAATTCCACCCCTTTTTATAATGGGGTGGGATTATAATAGTGCTGACTGAATGTAAATGTGTTTTGCCCGTTAAGATCGACAGATTTGACCACAGACACCGTGCATTACTTCCTTCCGGGGCCCTATCACCAGGGCCTCACCCTCACCAGCCACATACTCGCTCCCCGGCTTAATTATCCCTCCAAAATACAGCAATAATAATCATAATAATCACTCAATCCACCACTGTGTGTGTAATTGACTGCCATGTTTCGCCCACAAGACACACAGTCACTACACTTTACAGTGTATCCTGTGAAGCTCTGAGATGTCTCGAAGACCTGATAAGGTGCTATATAAAATGTAAGGATTATTATTATTTATTATTATGATGGAGCACGATCAAGAGCAGTCAAAGGTCAATACTTCGGTATCATGATATCTGCAATCTCATGACCGGTGATATCACTGTGTATGGATGCAGAATGCCAGTCAGCTCCAAAACTCTTGCTTGCATCAATCTGTTGTGCTTAAAATGCATCATTTGCTTCATATCCCATTGTCATGCTAATACGTTTTGAAGCATGACGATGGGATTTCAAGTACAATTTGAAGTGCTACGACTGATTTGGATGATGTGACATTCAGATTTGATTTTTATTTAGGTAAGAAAGCGTCAGAACCTACAACCAAATGATGCTCAGAATTATAACAAAGTGAATTATAATGGGTTTCTACGATGTATAATATTTATACTTCATTCTTGCATTTGATCACGTCATCATTGACGTTTCTCAGAATAGTATATTATTTCATATTAAGTTATTTTTAGCTTATGATTATTTATCTCCATTTTGCGAAAATGGTTCATTGCGTTGTATTTATTCAGTTAAAAAAAATGACACATTTGTGTCACAGAATACTTTAAATATATATATTTTTGACAACTTTATTCCTAAAGGCATTCCACATTTCTGTTTTTCTACTGGGAGATAATTCCAGTGTCACCAAATCATCTGATACCTTCTAGCTGTGTTGATAACTTAACCACAACTCCTGTATGAGAGACCTGGCCTTGGCAAAGAGTATTTGAATGAGGGAACAGGAGGCAGCATGGCAGCCCAGCCTCATCTTCTCACCCAGCATGACTGAGATCATGAACTTCACAGAGCAGATGATCAGAGCATCACATGTCAAGTTTCAAAATGATTCAACATTCGGTTCTGTATAATGTAGGCAAAGAAACACAGAACATTCATTAAATTCTAAAATTCAAAACTATCTTATCTACACTGCATTAATGAAAAAAAATCTCTTAGTTAATGAATCCACTAGTATTTTGACAAAGCGAGGCTACAAATCAGACAATTGGTTCATATTTGAAATAATTAAGGTACATGTCAAGGTTGCATATTCTCTGATGTGTTACTAACCTTTTCAAAGAGGTGTGCCTTCCCCTGAATTATGATTTAACCTCTGGGAGATCTTTTTGTTAAAAAAGGATACAAACAAATATTAAACATATTCAGAATCCCATTCAATGTGAAAACATTTAGTGAATAATCTGGCAGGTTGTGGGACATCATTGTACACAATTTGCCTGCCGTGTTCCCCTACAAAATGCAGTCACTAAAACACTTACCATACTTTATGGTAAACCCCATTAAGCGCTTTTAATAGTTGCCAATGTAATCAAATGTAAGATTGAATATTATTCTTCATTCTTGCATTTGATCTAGTTTAATCCTGTAGCCTATTGGATGGAGCACTCGTCTCGCAAGCAAGAGAATTTGCATTTGATTCCCAGGCAAGGCGAAACGTTAGGCAAGTTTCCTTATTCCACACGCCTCTGTTTACCTACCAGTAAGCAGGAACCCGGTTGTTAGTCAATTGGCGGATCGCGTTTCCAGGGGTAATAATAATCCCTTCAAGAATATTTTCTTTAACAATACAAAAATACTCAACCCATGACTGTTTGTGGGGGGGGGGACTGCTGTCCATAATTGGCTGCCGTGTTTCACCCCAAAATACAGTCAATTCACTTTACAATATATTCTGTGAAGCGCTTTAAGACGTCTCGAAGATGAGATAAGACGCTATATCAGATGCAAGGATTATTAGTATTATATTCTGGGTCTGGGAATTGGCATTTACATGCAATCACGATATCATGCATTTCTCCTGGAATGAGAAAATAACCTACACTGCAGGCAATTCATGTTAAATGGTACAGGTACAGGAAGGAGGGAGGCTTACATTAATTATCTGCACCTTTTAACATGCATTCACATTCGGTACTGTATAATGTAGGCAAAGAAACACAGAACATTCACTAAAATTCAAAACTATTATTGTTTAAAAGGAATTGACTGACTCATTTATAATAATAATATAGTAATCCTTGAATTTGATATAGCTCTTTATCATGTCGGAAGGACACCTTAAAGCACTTCACAGGATTTACTGTGAAATGCAGTGACGTTGTAATTTGAAAGCATATATGGTAGTACAATTGATCACAGCAATGTCCCAGAAACACCTAGTTATTTTAATTTATGAGATTATTGGCCAGGACGCTGGGTGAAAATCCATTCTTTTTTCGAATAACTCCATGGGATCTTCAACGTCCATCTGAACAGGCAGATGGGACCTTGGTTTAAAGTCTCAACCGAAGGACGGATTTAATATAAATGATGCACAGTGTTTAATATGCATAGTATTTTGAAGCGCTTTGAGACATCTCAAAGACATGATAAGGCGCTATATCAAATGCAAGGATTATAATATGAATTATTTGTGGTGTTTATTATGAATTGCCTGTTGTAAGGCAAGAATTACGTGATGTAAAGCAAGGATTACATCCCAGTGACTTCTGTTTTTGTTTAAGGATTACATGTACCGTTTATCGGGGATCATCTGCACCATTTAACCTGAATTACCTGTAAATTCAGTGCCTTGGGACATCTTCCCAAATTGTGAAAGGCTCTATATAAATGTAACTTTGTATTGTATTGTAATGGGTAACATGGATTACCTGAATTGTTTAACTTGCATTACCTATATGGGTGGGGTGGGTGGCTTCCAGGTTAAACTATAGGTGATTTCTGGTTAAATTGGTATTCTAACATGTAGTCTAACCCAGATGACAAATAATCTAACCCAGATAACATGTAGCCTAACTCACATAAAGAGCCTAACCTGGATGACATGTAGCTTAACCTGGATGACACATAGTCTCACATGGATGACATGTAGTCTAACCTGGATAACATGTCTAACCTGGATGGCATGTAGTCTAACCTGGATAACATGTCTAACATGGATGGCATGTAGTCTAACCTGGAAAACATGTCTAACCTGGATAACATGTCTAACCTGGATAACATGTCTAACCTGGATAACATGTCTAACCTGGATGACATGTAGTCTAACCTGGATGACATGTCTAACCTGGATAACATGTCTAACCTGGATGACATGTCTAACCTGGATAACATGTCTAACCTGGATAACATGTCTAACCTGGATGACATGTCTAACCTGGATGACATGTAGTCTAACCTGATGACATGTAGTCTAACCTGGATAACATGTCTAACCTGGATGACATGTCTAACCTGGATGGCATGTAGTCTAACCTGGATGACATGTAGTCTAACCTGGATGGCATGTAGTCTAACCTGGATGACATGTAGTCTAACCTGGATGGCATGTAGTCTAACCTGGATGGCATGTAGTCTAACCTGGATAACATGTAGTCTAACCTGGATAACATGTAGTCTAACCTGGATGGCATGTAGTCTAACCTGGATGGCATGTAGTCTAACCTGGATGGCATGTAGTCTAACCTGGATGGCATGTAGTCTAACCTGGATGACATGTAGTCTAACCTGATGACATGTAGTCTAACCTGGATGACATGTAGTCTAACCTGATGACATGTAGTCTAACCTGATGGCATGTAGTCTAACCTGGATGACATGTAGTCTAACCTGATGACATGTAGTCTAACCTGATGACATGTAGTCTAACCTGGATGACATGTAGTCTAACCTGGATGTTATGTAGATTTTCGTGATTACAAGTAGTCTAACCTTTGGGGTCACCTCCACCACCGCCCGCCCCTGTCTGAGGCCCTGACCTCAGCTCAGCTCCTGCAGCAGCAGCAGCAGCAGGAGCGACGCCGGGAGCCAATGACCCCGGCTCAGGCCTGCTCCTCTACCCGAGCCAGGCCCGACCCAGCCCGCCCTGCCTCAACACCACCCGCCCCCACCACACCACACCTCCCCCCAGAGCCGCTCCTTACCGTCGGTGGCCTGTGGCTTTGTTGTGGTGTGAGGGGAGCGGCTATTTCATCGTCTCCCTGTCCTGTCCCACACACACTCAGGGCCGCGCGGCCGCTCGCGCTCTCTCCGCTGACAGTTACCGCAGCGCCCGACCCACCGCCTCACCTCTCGCGAGAACTCAGCCAACCCGCGAGACTCCCAGCGCCGACCGTCACTCACTCCTCCCCCCGTCACCAGGGCAACCGTCACTCACTGCTCCTCCTCCTCCTCCGTCACCAGGGTAACCGTCACTCACTGCTCCGCCTCCTCCCCCCCGTCACCAGGGCAACCGTCACTCACTCCTCCCCCCCGTCACCAGGGCAACCGTCACTCACTCCTCCTCCCCCGTCACCAGGGCAACCGCCACTCACTCCTCCTCCTCCCCGTCACCACGGCAACCGTCACTCACTCCTCCTCCTCCTCCCCCCGTCACCAGGGCAACCGTCACTCACTCCTCCCCCCATCACCAGGGCAACAGTCACTCACTCCTCCTCTCCCGTCACCAGGGCAACCGTCACTCACTCCTCCCCTCCCGGTCACCAGGGCAACCGTCACTCACTCCTCCCCCCTGTCACCAGGGCAACAGTCACTCACTCCTCCTCCCCCATCACCACGGCAACCGTCACTCACTCCTCCCCTCCCGTCACCAGGGCAACCGTCACTCACTCCTCCTCCTCCTCCCCCCGTCACCAGGGCAACCGTCACTCACTCCTCCCCCCGTCACCAGGGCAACCGTCACTCACTCCTCCTCCTCCTCCCCCCATCACCAGGGCAACCGTCACTCACTCCTCCCCCCGTCACCAGGGCAACCGTCACTCACTCCTCCTCCTCCTCCCCCCGTCACCAGGGCAACCGTCACTCACTCCTCCCCCCTGTCACCAGGGCAACCGTCACTCACTCCTCCTCCCACCCCCGTCACCAGGGCAACCGTCACTCACTCCTCCCCCCGTTACCAGGGCAACCGCCACTCACTCCTCCCCCCCCCCCCCCCCCCCCGCCACCAGGGCAACCGTCACTCACTCCTCCTCCCCCTCCGTCACCAGGGCAACCGTCACTCACCCCTCCCCCCGTCACCAGGGCAACCGTCACTCACTCCTCCTCCCACCCCCGTCACCAGGGCAACCGTCACTCACTCCTCCCCCCCGTTACCAGGGCAACCGCCACTCACTCCTCCCCCCCCCCCCCCCCGCCACCAGGGCAACCGTCACTCACTCCTCCTCCCCCCCCGTCACCAGGGCAACCGTCACTCACTCCTCCTCCCCCTCCGTCACCAGGGCAACCGTCACTCACCCCTCCCCCCGTCACCAGGGCAACCGTCACTCACTCCTCCCCCCCCTCCTCCCCCCCCCCCCCCGCCACCAGGGCAACCGTCACTCACTCCTCCTCCCCCCCGTCACCAGGGCAACCGTCACTCACTCCTCCCCCCCGTCACCAGGGCAACCGTCACTCACCCCTCCCCCCGTCACCAGGGCAACCGTCACTCACTCCTCCCCCCGTCACCAGGGTAACCGTCACTCCCCCAAATCCCCACATCCCCACACCCCGTCACCAGGGCAACTGTCTCTTAGCCATCACCAGCGCAACCATCACTCCCCCGGTCACCAGGGCAACCGTCACCTCCGCAACGACCTCACCTCCTGAGTCACTCTCCTTCACACACACCTTCCGTCTGTTATCCTCGACATTCCTTTCCCACGTCACCTGTGGCGTTCCTCAGGGCTCCATCTCCTCCTCGATGTTTACATTCTCCCACTCGGCGATGTCAGCCACACAGGTTGGCTTCCACATGTATGCGGACCACACCACCCAACTCTAGCTCTGTTCTGACGAAGGGCCTGAAACGTTGACCCACTTCCCTCTCTCCATAGATGCTGCCTGACCTGCTGAGTGTTCCCAGCGATCTCTGCTCTTGTTTCTGTCTCTGTCCCTCCATCCTTGATTCCGGCACCACTGCCGTTGTCCGTCAGGTGAAGTCCTGGAATGAGAGCTAACTTTCTCCAGTTGAATACCGACAAGACAGAGGCTCTCTTGCTTGGCTCCCGCCAGTGCCTCCGCACCTCAGGCGCTGACAGCATCACTGTTAATGGACGCACACTCCACCTTACGGATGGTGCGGAACTTCAGTGCCTTGTTCAACTTTCTACTGTGTCTACTGTGGTGTCTACTTCCAAATGTCCTTCAAACTCCACGTCCGCAACATTGCTCAGCTCTGCCCCTACCTCTCCGCTTGGGCCCCTCTCCTTGATAATAATTGAATTTACCAAAAGTTATCAATTGGTGGCAGTAAAGCTCCACCGCGATACTGTTAATTCCTTCAATAGGAAGTCACGGATGAAAGAAATTTAACAACGGGAAACTCGCTTTAGGTTGGTCACCATTTATTTTTATTATTTATTGTACGTTACTTGACAAGGATGTCCCTGTAAAAGAATGTAATTTATTTTTATTAGAGAAAATTGTAACCATTGTTTGTATATTTTTTTGCCTCATTCTCTTCCCCCCCCCAAACAAACCAGAATTATCCAAATAAATGAAGGCCATTCTATTACAATGGCTTTGGGCTATTTTTAAAATGAGTTACTTTTTTTTAATATATATTTAAAAAATAGCCACACAAACTGAACTCGACTGACAGCCATTGGCACTCACAGGACCCACTTTGAGGAAATAGGGTTCTGCATTAAGGCCTTACAGACAAGGAATTCTCTGTCGTTTGGTTTGGTAACTCTTAAGAATGGCGATGGATTTCCACAGGTATCAGATATCCTCCTCTACATATTTCATCAGACAAAATACCTTCATGGGGTAAAGGCAAGGGGGAATTCCATAAAACAATGCCATCATCTGCATCCTGGATTTCACCTGACATGGCAAGAGCCTTGGGATGTCCTCTTAAATCGTCATCCTCACTTTCAAGGCCCTCCGCTGACTTGCCCGCTCCTACCTCTCTGACTTGCTGACCCTCTATGAACACTGTCCGCTCTCTCCGTTCAGCAGGCTCCAGCCTGCTCCTTGTCTCCCGCCCGACCCGACCCGCCCTGCCGTCAGCGGCCAGGCTTTCAGCCTCTCTGCCCCCACCCTTTGGAACTCCATCCCACAATCCCTTCGCCTCCCTCCCTTGCCTCCTTCAAGGCACAACTGAAGCCCTTCCTTTTCGACCTTGCTGTCAGCCACCCTCCTACCTCTCTGCCCTCCTCATCCAAACATTGCTCAGATCCTGATCCCCGATGTTCAGAGCGCCTTGATGTGAAAGGCGCTTTACAATTGTCATTTTTGTTGTTGCTGTTGAATGTATCCTTATGCAGTATATTTCAGTATTGTGTACACCTCTATTCCGTGTACACAAATACCAGATTTAGAAACTCTTGAGCATCGAGCAAAAAACCAGACCTAAGATTTGTTCTTTATGCTAATAAAGGCTAACTATAACTATGGCTGTAAGTAATCCAACAACCTTTACCCTAGTGCTATTGGATCTGTCTGAATCCTGTTGAGTTTCCTGGAAATATTGAAATAATGGACTTTTTAAAATTATTTAACTTAGACAATTAATTGTGTAACATTTGGAAATGATTCCTATGTTGGCAGTTTGTGGAAGTTACATTGGAATCAGTTTCACAGAGGTAGCCATTAGATTCGTTTGTCAAAAAGCCAAATGCTTATCTGTGGTGATAAATGAGCCTGTTAGTTGCTGCAGACACATGAATTACAGAAGTCTCATTTAGTCTTAAGATTTAATTGTCAATTGAAAGCAATTTTGTGTTGCACAAACAGAGAAAGCTGACACCAAGGTCTAATTCCTCTCATACCTTAACTTTATGTGTCAGTGATCCAGCTATTAGTGTGATCCGTCAGGGTAGTAAAACTCTTGCAGACACTCAAGGGAATGTTTTTCTTAAGATCTGAGTGGCACTCCTAGTCTGCAAAGAACAAGTTGTTAACTATAACTAAGGCTTTAATGAATATTCTTGCATTTGATATCAAGTCGTCAAAAATCCCAAAGTACTTCACAGGACTGAGACAAAATGAATAGATATGTTTAAAAAAGAGATAAACAGAGACTTGGGTAGTTGAGGTATAAAGAGGCAAAGTGAAAAGGTGAGCCATTGCTATTAAAAGATCTGCAAAAAACTTATAAACTTGTGAAAAATGCAGTGAGCTGAAAGGCCTCCTCTTATTACTGATATCCTATGTTCTAATTCCATTCTTTAAATGTTATATTGCACCTATTGTTCGCCTGTGAAAATGAATATTGGCAGGCATCACAGCTAAACCCAACTGTTTATATAGAGAGAATCAGGTAAACAGATGAGTTCCTCCTCAGGGAGAATGCATATTCCACTCCAAACACTCAAATTTCCATTTATAGGTGGGATGCATGCAACTCCCAGTCTGATTTGGATATTCTTAAACAGAGAGGGTCCAGGGAATGAGCAAGGAATTGGGAGGATAGAGAGTGTAATTATAGGAACGAACGGCGACACTAATATAGTGGATTGGATGGCCTCCTACTCAACGTTGGCCTATGAACGTGCCGAAATGTGAACCCACATGAATGACGCTATACATAGAGTGCAGTTGCTGCTGAATCCACAATCACTACACCTGACAGCAAATCCAGTGAAGCGTTTTGAGTCATTCGGATGCTGTGACAGACAGATGATGCATAATGCTGATTATCATGACATAGTCACCACTGTTAAGCGCTCTGAGATGCTAACCTGCAAGGAGGGCGTTATATAATAATAATCCTGGCATTTGATACAGCGCCTGATCTTCGAGACGTCGCAAAGCGCTTCACAGAATACACAGTAAAGTGAATTGACTGCATGTTTTGTGGGCGAAACGCGGCGGCCAATTGCGCACAGCAGCGTCCCACAGACAGTCACAGCTTGAGTGACCAAATTTTGTTTTGAGGAGCGATTATTTCCCCCGGAAAAGCGATCCGCCAGTCGACTAACAATCCGGGTTCCTACTTACTCCTGGTACACAGAGGCGGGTGTGGAGTAAGGAAACTTGCCCAACTGTGTCTCGCCCCCGTGCCCGGGAATCAACCCCACATCCTCTCGCTTGCGAGGCGAGGGCTCCAACCACTGAGCTACAGGACCTCCACAGGGTACAGCAGGAAGGATGCAGTGATGATGATGATGATGATGCCCTCCTGTGAAGCCAAGTGAGGACCAGCCAGGATGGCCGGAGCGCAAAGCATGCCGGCTATTGTAGTCGTGGACTCAGCCCGTGACGAGAGAAGCGCGCGTTGCACCGCGGGAACTACATCCCCCAGAGTGCACCGCGCATCTCCATGGTGACCCCCACCCCAGCGAGCTGCACCAACCGAGTTCAGGGGGAGTGGGGGGGGTATGGTGGCGGGTGATCTATCCCCAAATACACCCTGAAACTAACCGAGGACGGCGAAGCAATACCAATACAAACGCACAGGTTGATTAGCTATGAGTGCTCGGTGTGACGTGAGCAGTTGGGGCTCTGATGGCTGATCTTGTCGGGGTGTTTGTGAAGGTTTCCCCCTCACCCCCAGCTCCGGTGGTTCAGGCCGGCTGGGCCCGGGGTGGGGGCGGGGAGCGCCCGCGATGGAGCGGGAGGTGGAGGCTGTCGGCTCCTCAGCGGCCGCCGAGCGGCGGCACAGGGTCCTGGTGGCGGTGACGGGCAGTGTGGCGGCTCTCAAGTTACCAGAGCTGGTGCGTGAGCTGCGGGGTCTGCGTCAGGTGAGTGAGGGAGAGAGGGAGGGGGGGGAGGCCGCCATCACTCCCTCCCCCTCCCGCCCCCACCGTCACCATGGCGACAGGAGGCCCGGCCCGGCCCGGCCCGCCCGCCAGGCTCCGGCTTTGTTATATATATCCGACAATAAGAATAATAGTAATCTTTGCATTTGATACGGCGCCTTTTATCACATCTCCGAGGCGCCTCAAAGCGCTTCACCGGATACGCTGCCAAAGTCTAAGGTGTAGTGACTGTATTTCAGATCTAAACCCTTCAGCAGGCTGCCGCCTCGCCCCCTCCCTCGCCATCTCCAACCCCACCTCAAGACCCTCCTCTTCGACAGTGCTTTCGATCTCCCGACCCCCACCCCCCTCCCCCACCCCGACCCTCAGCTCGGGTCAGAAACTCTGCCCCTCCAGCGCCTTGGGACGTCCTCTCGACGTGAAAGGCACTTTACGAGTGTAATTTTGTTGTTGTTGTTGTTGCATTGGAAACAGCTGGGGCCAGGCTGGACTGACTGTCAGCTGATGTTGTGCAGGATTTCACTGCGTGCGGGTGTGCTCGCGGGTGTGCGGGTGCGTTCGTGCGTGGGTGTGCACGCGCAGGTGTGCGTGGGGATGCGGGTGTGTGTGCGCGTGCGGGTGGGTGTGCGCGTGCGGGTGGGTGTGCGCGTGCGGTGGGTGTGCGCGTGCGGGTGTGTGCGTGCAGGTGGGTGTGTGCGTGCGGGTGTGTGCGTGCGGGTGTGTGCGTGCAGGTGGGTGTGTGCGTGCGGCTGTGTGTGCGTGCGGGTGTGTGTGCGTGCGTGCGGGCGGGTGCGTGCGTGCGGGCGGGTGCGTGCGGGCGGGTGTGTGTGCGTGAGGGTGTGTGTGCGTGAGGGTGTGTGTGCGTGAGGGTTTGAGTGCGTGCGGGTGTGTGCGTGCGTGCGGGTGTGTGCGTGCGTGCGGGTGTGTGCGTGCGTGCGGGTGTGTGCGTGCGTGCGGGTGTGTGTGCGTGCGGGTGTGTGTGCGTGCGGGTGTGCGTGCGTGCGGGTGCGTGCGTGCGGGTGGGTGCGTGCGGGTGGGTGCGTGCGGGTGGGTGTGTGCGGGTGGGTGTGTGCGGGTGGGTGTGTGTGCGGGTGTGTGTGTGTGCGGGTGTGTGTGTGCGGGTGTGTGTGTGTGCGGGTGTGTGTGTGTGCGGGTGTGTGTGTGTGCGGGTGTGTGTGTGTGCGGGTGTGTGCGTGCGTGCGTGCGGGTGTGTGCGTGCGTGCGTGCGGGTGTGTGCGGGTGTGTGTGCGTGCGGGTGTGTGTGCGTGCGGGTGTGTGTGCGTGCGGGTGGGTGTGCGTGCGGGTGGGTGTGCGTGCGGGTGTGTGTGCGTGCGGGTGTGTGTGCGTGCGGGTGGGTGTGCGTGCGGGTGGGTGTGCGTGCGGGTGGGTGTGCGTGCGGGTGTGTGGGTGCGTGCGGGTGTGTGGGTGCGTGCGGGTGTGTGGGTGCGTGCGGGTGTGTGGGTGCGTGCGGGTGTGTGGGTGCGTGCGGGTGTGTGGGTGCGTGCGGGTGTGTGGGTGCGTGCGGGTGTGTGGGTGCGTGCGGTGTGTGGGTGCGTGCGGGTGTGTGGGTGCGTGCGGGTGTGTGGGTGCGTGCGGGTGTGTGGGTGCGTGCGGGTGTGTGGGTGCGGGTGGGTGTGTGTGTGCGGGTGGGTGTGTGTGCGGTGGGTGTGTGTGCGGGTGGGTGTGTGTGCGGGTGGGTGTGTGTGCGAGTGGGTGTGTGTGCGGGTGGGTGTGTGTGTGCGGGTGGGTGTGTGTGTGCGGGTGGGTGTGTGCGGGTGGGTGGGTGTGTGCGGGTGGGTGTGTGTGTGCGGGTGGGTGTGTGTGTGCGGGTGGGTGTGTGTGTGCGGGTGGGTGTGTGTGTGCGGGTGGGTGTGCGGGTGCGGGTGGGTGTGCGGGTGGGTGTGCGGGTGGGTGTGCGTGTGCGGTGGGTGTGCGGGTGGGTGTGCGGGTGGGTGTGTGTGTGCGGTGGGTGTGTGTGTGCGGGTGGGTGTGTGTGTGCGGGGTGGTGTGTGTGTGCGGGTGGGTGTGTGTGTGCGGGTGGTGTGTGTGCGCGGGTGGGTGTGTGTGCGCGGGTGGGTGTGTGTGCGGGTGGGTGTGTGTGCGGGTGGGGTGTGCGGGTGGGTGTGCGGGTGGGGTGTGCGGGTGGGTGTGTGCGGGTGGGTGTGTGCGGGTGGGTGTGCGGGTGGGTGTGTGCGGGTGGGTGTGTGCGGGTGGGTGTGTGCGGGTGGGTGGGTGCGGGTGGGTGCGGGTGGGTGGGTGCGGGTGGGCGCGGGTGGGCGGGTGGGCGCGGGTGGGTGTGCGCGGGTGGGTGTGCGCGCGGGTGGGTGTGCGCGCGGGTGGGTGTGCGCGCGGGTGGGTGTGCGCGCGGGTGGGTGTGCCGCGGGTGGGTGTGCGCGCGGGTGGGTGTGCGCGCGGGTGGGTGTGCGCGCGGGTGGGTGTGCGCGCGGGTGGGTGTGCGCGCGGGTGGGTGTGCGCGCGGGTGGGTGTGCGCGCGGGTGGGTGTGCGCGCGGGTGGGTGTGCGCGCGGGTGGGTGTGCGCGCGGGTGGGTGTGGCGCGGGTGGGTGTGCGCGCGGGTGGGTGTGCGCGCGGGTGGGTGTGCGCGCGGGTGGGTGTGCGCGCGGGTGGGTGTGCGCGCGGGTGGGTGCGGCGGGTGGGTGCGGGCGGGTGGGTGCGGGCGGGTGGGTGCGGGCGGGTGGGGCGGGGTGTGCGGGCGGGTGTGTGCGGGCGGGTGTGTGCGGGCGGGTGTGTGCGGGCGGGTGTGTGCGGGGGTGTGTGCGGCGGGTGAGTGCGGGCGGGTGAGTGCGGGCGGGTGCGTGCGGGCGGGTGCGTGCGGGCGGGAGCGTGCGGGCGGGTGCGTGCGGGCGGGTGCGGGCGGGCGGGTGCGGGCGGGCGCGTGCGGGCGGGCGCGTGCGGGCGGGCGCGTGCGGGCGGGCGCGTGCGGCGGGCGCGTGCGGGCGGGCGCGTGCGGGCGGGCGCGTGCGGGCGGGCGCGTGCGGGCGGGCGCGTGCGGGCGGGTGCGTGCGGGCGGGTGCGTGCGGGCGGGTGCGTGCGGGTGGGTGTGTGCGGGTGACTTTCCGGAAGAACTTTGATTTTCAAATTGCAAATGTCAGTTTTTATTATTCTCAATATTCCGAGGGCCGAAAATTGACGTTTGCGATTCTTAATGCAGGAGAAGGCAATCGGAATGTCACCGAGTGCTCGTGTTCATGCAAACCCAGAAATAGTGCCCTACTGCTGCTCACCTCCGAGAAACAAAACCGTGGGATGAATATTTGCACCAATACATACATAATAATAATCCTCGAAACACGACAGCCAATTGTGCACAGCAGCGTCCCACAAACAGTCATCGATTGAGTGACCACATTGTTATTGTTTTTTTTCAAAGGATTATTCTAAATCTTCACCGTTTAACGTCTCAGATTCTTTCAAGATCAGCAGAGTATTTGCCTGCAGGAGCATCAAAGCAGCATCCCAACTCTTCCCTCCACAAACTGTAGATTATAGGGGGACGTGACCACAGGCACAGTCGAATAGGAAGGTCTTCAGACACAACCTGAAGATGGGGAAGGAAGGGGCAAGGCGTTAGGATAGAGGAAGAGTCTGACCGAGCCTTCAGCTCCCCTCTCGACTCTCTTCCCCCTCCTCGCTCCCTCCCTTCCCTCCCCTCACCCTGACCATTTCCCCCTCCTCGCTCCCTCCCTTCCCTCCCCTCACCCTGACCATTTCCCCCCTGCTCGGGTCATGACCCAACTGTGCAGCGCCTTGGGACGTCCTCCTGACGTGAAAGGCGCTCTATAAATGGAATCTTGTTGTTGTTGTTGTTGAGTGTTCCAGAGTTTCAGGGCGCAGCTAAAATTGGTTATTCACTTCATAGCTGTTTGTGGGACATTGTTGAACACAGACAGTGTGCTCGACTTCAAGATCTTCACACTCTTGTTCAAATGCCTTCACTCTCCTGCACCTCCCTACCTCTCCGAACTCCTCACTCTCCAATCCACCACCTGGCACCTCCTGTTGACTGACAACTGCCTCCTGCTCGTCCCTCACACCCTCCACCCCACCATCGGAGGTTGCGTTTTCAGCCACTACGCCCTGAAACTCCTTCGCCTTGCCTCTCTCCCCTTCATCACCAACCGTGTTTGCAACCACCTCCCCCCACCTCTGAGGGCGCTGTACAAGTGAAAGTTGTTGTTGGAAGCAAATACCTGTAAAGTGCTTTGAAGTGTTTCATAGTGAAACACAAATACAGGTATTCCTGATGATAAGATTCCAGTCCCTTCTTAATCGATGAATATTTTCCCTTGAATGCATCAGTGGAGTCCTGTAGCTCAGTGGTTAGAGCACTCGCTTTGCAAGTGAGAGACCTGAGTCCAATTCCAGGCAGAGGGCGAAACCTTGAGGAAGTTTCCTTACTCCACACAGAGCCTAATAATAATCCCTCCAAAACCAAAAACAATAATAAATTGGTCATTTTCAATCTACGACAGTTTGTGGGACATTGCTGTGAGCTATTGGCTGCCGCGTTCGCCCACAAATATACAGTCAATTCACTTTACAGTGTGTTCTGTGAAGCGCTTTGGGACGTCCTCCCGACATGAAAAGCGCTATACCAAATGCAAGGATTATTATTATTATTCTCTACAGTAGGGGGCAGTGTTTTCCAACAAATTAATTGCTTCTGGACGTTGTAGATTCTTTAATTTGTAAAACGCAAAATGTGCCATGTAAAGGAGAATAAATACCAAGACTTGTTTACACAAACAGTTGTTAGGATGTGGGATACACTGCCGGGTGTGGTGGTCAAGGCAGGATCTATCTTCGTTTTTAGGAGGGAACTAGATAAATATTTACCTAGCAGTACGTAGTAACCCGCTTGTTAGTCAGTTAGTGGAATACTCCCTGGGGGTAATAATCCCTCCCAAAAATATATGGTCACTCAATCCATGACTGTTTGTGGGATGCTGCTATGCACAATTGA